TATACAGATAGAGTTAGTGAAAGTTAAAAGTCATAGCAAAAACAAATGGAATGACAAAGCTGATAGTCTCGCAAAGAAAGAAACAATAAGTAAGAAAATAATACAAATAGAGAAAGTCAGTTGCGAAAAGATAGAGTACTGCCTAGAGTGAAAAAATAAATGAACTGACATATCTGCAAAATTGTTATGCAAATTGATAACAAATGCAAGATTAGGAACAGAATAGAAAGAAACAAATGCAATTAGAAAGTTAGAACTGAATATAGAAGTCATAATTCATGACTGGACACAATTTTGGAAATGGTTAAAAATGACTAAAGGAGTGCATTGCATAACAAGAAAAGGTAGTACAAGAAGATGTGCATTTATAAAGTGTATGATAAATAAACTCCCAATCTTAGAAGAACTTAATAAAAGAAGACCAGACATATACACAACAATAGAGTGTCAAGTATGTCAAGATAAAGTCAAAGAAACACAGTTACATCTAGCATCATGTAAAGGACAACAGAGCCTGTAAAAACAAATTCAAAAAGTGACTATTGCAACAGCCTGGAAAGAGTTAAAGGAAGAAGAAAAAACTCACATCCCATTATATGTACTATATATAGCACTCTTTGGGAAAAATGAAGCAGAAGAAATAAAGATGAGAGAAGCATTAATCAAAGGCCTGATCTGAAAAAAAACACAAGACAGACTAACACAACTCCTAAATATGAAGGCAAAACAGCAGTTTATAGAGATAGTGACAAAAACAGTATGGGACACATTCTATAAACAGATTTGGAGGATACAATGCGAAAAGGTTAATGAATAGAAAAAAAAAAAGGCATAACAACTAAAATGAAGAAAAAGAAAGTAAAGAAGAAGAATCCAAAGAAGAAAGAAAAGGCAAATCAGCAGAAGATTGAAAAAAAAAGAAACAAGAAAAAGAGAAAAAAATAGAATTAATGAAGAAAGTAAGAAGAAAATGTTGGGACTTGTCATAAAAGAGAGAAGACCCTTTCACTACAGACTTTAAGTAGTTAGACAAGTAGCCTACTTCTGTTAGAAGTAGTGCAGCAGGTTGCACTTAGGTACCTTATGAGTGGCTAGGTGTTGCTAGACTTAGTTGTTAGGTAAATTTATGTAATTGCAAAAGTAATTTCAAGAATTTTAATAAAGTACTAGTATGACTGCTTAAGTTTAAAAAAAAAAAAATATATATATATATATTGCATTGTTTGTAGTAAGTATGTTTAATAGTATTTAAATTAAAATTCAAAAATTGAAGTATTAAAGAATTATATAATATTGAAGCATGTTATTGTTTAAACAAAAGTATATAGATCAATTGTTTTAGTAAAGGTATTTTGAATAATATTTTTAAAGTTAGAGTTATTAATATTATCATTTTTAGTTATTAAATTGAAGTAGTATTTAATATAAGTATAATAAAAAAAAATTTACATTTAGGATTTGTAGATGTATTATTAAGTTATATAAATTGTTGTTTAGCAATTTGTACAAATTGGTTAAAATTTTTAAATAGAAAAGGTTTAGTAAAAGTTGCAGCTAAAGGTTAATTTTGTTTAAAAATAGAAAAATCTAAGTTTAAATAAATATAATTAAAAGAAATAAAAAATAATTCAAGAGTTTTTAAGAGAGAATATTATATTTATTGTTTATATATATATATGTAATGTAATAAAGCTTTAATAGAAGCTGTTATTCTTTTTTATAGTAAGTTTAATAAATAGAACTTTAAAAGGGTTTTTTTAAGTTTAATTATAAGAAAAGTAATTATTTGATATTTAATAAAATTGGAAATTTTTTGTTTATTAATATATAAAAATTGTTTTTTGTAAGAATTAAAGAATTTTGAAAACCATTTATCAAGTAGTGTTTGATATATTTTAAAAAAAAATATAAAAAGTTTTAAAAAAGTTTTTGGTAAAAATATTATATGTAATATAGATATTATATTTAGTATTATTTTTAATTTTAATAGATAGTAAATTGGTATTATTAATATTAATACTTAAATCTAAATATAAAACCAGATATCTGGATAGACATCCTGTTTTAATTCTCTTAATCTAGATGTATAAACAGATATTGGTTAGTTATCCGGTTTCTAATCTGGATTATATTTGGATTTTAATATTAAATAATTTTTAAAGTAATCTATAAATAAAATATTATGCGAATAGGCCTATTAAGGGTTATTTCACATTGCTTCAATGCATTGGCATGATTTCTAATGCTTTGGTAAATGTTTCACTTTTGTACATTTCATAATAAATTTCACTGCATAGTACAGATTAGAAGAAACATTTTTTTTATTACTTGAGTTTTGATTAAAGTATAAAAAACTTAGTTCAAGTTATTAGAGCTTAAACTTAATTCTTGTATAAAAATCAAAAATTTCCAGGCAATCATTAAGTTAAGTATTCTCTATTTTTCTTATTTTTATTTTTATTGTTTTATTTTTTTTTATTTTATACTATGGCTTTAATTCAGGTTTCAAATAATGATACTGATATTGTTGGATCACAAGTTTATTACTAAATTTAACTATATATAAGTATTTTTTGATTATTAATAATATTTTTATCTTTTCACTCTCTCAGGGTCAGGATTAGGGTTTAATATGATTATTATTATTACAAAAATTTATTTAATGCAGCTTTTATCTAATATGTTCAAACCTGAATAGAGTAGAGTAATTATTTAAACATCAAAAAGTATTGTATTATAGCTTTATGTTATTAGTATACATTTTAAATAACAAATTCATTATATATTTACTAAATAAGACAAAGTTCGTTATATATTTATTATATTTACTAAACCTAATAAATATACAGTATACTGTATTCACAAAATTCGATATTATTCTAAGTTATATATATAAAATAATACTAATAAAATATAATGGTAATATCATAATATGAAGCTTTACTAAAAATATATAATATAATATTGTTTTAGAAAAATAGTTGGGATAGTGCTTAGTGCCCCTCACAATAAATATTATTTCAACTGTGACTCAAATATAGTATCCAGAATACCAATATTTTGTTTAAGAAAAAGAATTCTTTCAAATAAGCCAGTGTTAATTGATGTACGTTTTGCTGTCATTAAATTACTCACACTCAAAAATAAGCATTTACTAGAGGTTGATGTGGAAGGTATAACCAAGTATTTTCTTGCCAAATTGGCAAGGATTAGAAAATTTTTTTGAACATCTTTCTACCAGTTAAGTGGATTAGTTGTAATTGGCATTTGATCTATTTTAAGATATTCATCTACTTCATTTTTATTTGATGTTAACATTATATTTAACCCAAATATTATTAAAAAAAAACTTATTTAATTATCATTTTTTCTACATTCATCAAGTTAGTAATACTTTCATTTTTAATGCTAAGTAAATCATATTTTTCTTGCAAAAGATCAATAGCCTTTCACGTTTCCAACTATCTAATTTTTTCATTGACTTACAACATGAATCAAGTAACATTGTAATTAAAGAACAATCAAGAGGTGCATCCCAATAATAGTCTAATGCTTTATATAAACTCTTCTTTACTTTTTCTACTAGATTATCCATATTTTGAGATTAACTAAGATTAAACTTACCTCTATTAGCCATAATAATTATTTTCAATTTTTTATCTACATCGACTATATTCTCTTTCTTTTTATCAAAAATAGTTAATATATTTGTTAAATTAAGCTCTTTATTACTTATACTTATCGACAATGGTGTACAATTTCTAGTAAGGGTGGTGATTGCTGGCTACATAAAACTAAGTGTAATATAATTACTACCTTCTAGCAATTGTGTAATCTTAGCAAAAAGGGCCAAAATAATAGTTAATTTCTCAAGAACTTTCTATTCTTCTTCTGTAATAATTAAGGATTTTAAGTGAATTGCATCTTTATGAATAATATAATTATTATCTGCACTCATAGTTGCTTCTATTAATTTAATAGTATGCTTAATTTGAAGAAGTCGTTTCCATGCAATATATGAAGAATTCAACTGAGTTGGGGTATCAGATATTGCATGATAAAACTCTTGTTTATTGTTATTAATATTTTCTTTTGAAATTTTTAACAATTCCTGTACTTTTCGTAATTGCTCATTTTGTTTAGGCATACTCAAAAAGTTAATCAATCTTTTTGCACATTTTATTAAAACTTCTGCAGGTTTTAACCCTTTACCAATAGTAAGCTAAAGCATATGGGCCATACAAGGAACCCGATCTATGCCCATTAAATTAATAGCCTTAATCATATTAGCAGCATTGTCAGTAATAATCAAAATTACTTTTTCAAAAAGCTCCTAGTCATTAATTTATATATATTTTTTTTTTTGAACTTTGGCAACAATGCCAGTTGGTTTTTATTAGCCTTAATTTGATATAGTACAAATTTATGGTTACATTTTAGGATTGATTATTACTAGTACTATATACTATCTAATTTAATACCACTAACTTCATCCGGTTACTCTTATGGCACCTAAGTGCATGTCTACCACATGCCTGCATGCAGTTATCTTGACAACTACTTGTGGTCATAGCACATATTAAACCACTATACAGACAAAGATACCTACTGAACTTAATGTGGCATTCCAAATGCCAGGGGTACTGTCTTCTGTAAATCATACCCATATGTCCTACTCACATGTTTTTCTGATCTTGTTTCTTCTGCCTCCTAATCTAACTATATCTAGTATTACCTTGTTTTCTATATTTTCCATCTTTTCATCACTGTACTACTCTCAAATTGGTCCTACTTAAGTATATCTAATTCTTATGATCTTCTTATCTTTGGTTTGCCTGTTATTGATTCCCTTAAGGTGTTCTGACAATGGTTTAGGATTTACAATGAACCCATATCTCAAGCCAGATTTGCTGCCACCATTAGTCTTTTGACCAATTCATATTTCAAGCCAAACCTGCTGTCACCATTCTTGCAAATACTCCAGGTCTTAATGTCATACAGTAACTCGATGCTGTATTTAACCTCCAACATGGTGCTTCTTTTTATGATAAAGACTAGGACTTGTTGTACTTACAAACAGGACAATTTTGGTTATACCTAGGGAGTTCCTTTGACCCTAGTGATACCATACTACCATATATTGCAAGCTCCCAGCTTATTTGACAATACCTGCAGGACAATTCTGGTTATGCCCAGGGAGTTACACCAACCCCAGTAATGCCATACTACCTTGCAGATCTTATCTCATATTGGTTGGTTGATCCCTAGTCTTGTTCATCATAGACTTTCATATTAGTATGACCAGAACCTGATTTGGTACTTTTACATTGCACAAGAAGGTTATACACCTACCTCCAAGATCTTCTCTTCTATAATTAGATTATTCGGCTATGCCAGAGATGCTTCTAATTTTTGGTTAGACCAATCCTTTATCACAGTTTGTCCTCGTGTTCACCGCTTCTTTCACCATTCCAGTCTTGGTTACTTGTTAGACTACTCTTCTAATCAAATCCTCTTCTTGGATTCCAATTAAGACTTATTTACACAATCCATTGATTATCCTTTCAAGCAAGTACCCTACAAGTTAGGTGCAGGGATGTTGGTACTGCCTATATTGGAAGGTATAAGGATGTTAGTGTTGCTCTAGCCTAAAGAACTTACATGTACAATCTTTTCATAACCGTAACCTTCTATAACTAGTGTTTGGAACCAGTTTTATTTTTCTTATATTAAAACAGATTTTAATCGGATTTAACATAAAAAAAATAAAACTGGTTCCAAACTCTATCTGTAACAACCGTTTGTTACGCATAGTGCCTGCACTCCACAATTGGGTCTCCTTCTAGGAATTCCTATTTCTATCATTGTACTGTACTTGGACTTAACTACAGGGCTTCATGTTCAATTACAGGCTCCTTATTAGGTTACAGAAGTTAAAATCTTTCAATTTTGCCTCTAGCCAGACTTGAACTATTGACCTTGACTGTAGAGGGTATAAGAGCTTAACTGCTAAGCTATGGGACCCATATCCCTCCTAGTCTTTAATTATTTTCTCTAATTCAGCTTTAATGTTTACAGCATCATGAGGATATAGAGCATATTTAATTGCAAGTATAGCTTCTTTTAATTCATAATTAAAGTTAATAAAATGATATGTAACACCTATATATCTGTTTTTAGAACATGCAGTCCATAAGTTGCATGTTAATCCGCATGTTTTTATTTCTGTTGCTAGAAGCATTTTAAGATTTTTTATTGAATAATTATAACTTTGATGAATTAGCACCTTTATATATTTATTAGATAGAAGTTCGTAATATGGATTTAAGGTATGAATAAGTTTAATAAAACTTTCATTTTTCAAAATATAAAGAGGTTGCAAATCTGTAACTATCCATTTTACTAAAGCATAATTGATAGATTTTTTTTGATGTGTATTTTGTCTAGCAGCACGATAGAACATTTTAGTAATTGTTGGCTGCTCGATTGTATCAATAACTTTGGTAGATTTAGTAATTCCATATGTATTTAAATGTGTTTGAAAGTTGCCAGTTGAATCCTGAGTCTTAACTAACTGCTTACATTTCTGTTGTCCATTTGGTGCCTTTTTACTTTTCACAATTATGATACAATTTCTATGTGTTTTCCATTTTTGTGATGGATGACTTTAGTGAAAATACTGCCAAACCCAACTAGTGTTTTTTTGCAATTTAGGTTTATTACTAGGTTTTTTATTAGAACAGTTTGGATTATTATTTTTATTAAAATGGTCTGTATCACTAGTTTTATCAGAATGATCTGTAATAATATTAAGATCCATACTAATATTATCTTCACTTAATGATTCATCACTAGAAGTATCATTATACTCAGAACTAGTATCAGAATTCGATATTGCATTGGAGTCAGTATGGTCTTTGGATTTTCATTTTTTAGCATTCATTGTTATGTCAAGTACAGAAAACAATTTTATTTGATAATATTTGTTTTTTTTTCTTTTGTTTTTTTTTTAGAGTATTTAGGCTTTAAATAGAACTGATAACAAAATATTAGCACTATTCAGAAATATATTGCTTTATTATAGAGCAATAAAGACTATTGAACAGAACAATGGCTTTTAAAATTTTTATTTTTAAAAAAAAAATTGACCATAATTCTAATTAATTATTTCTATTATTTGAATTTAGGCAAACATTTTACAATGAACTAATGGACAATTGATTATGCATATGTAAAAGAGTTATTCTTTTATGAGTTATAGTTAAAACTAAAGGTGCAGATATTAGAATGTGAAATAATATATAGCATAGTCATAACTGAGTAGTTACCCAAATTTTATATACCATAAGAGGGTAGTTATCCTTGAGAAATGTTTGCATCTCTAGTTAAAACTATTTGCTGAAAGTATTTTGAATACTTTTAGTAAATTCTCAATTCTGAATAAAAAAAAAAATACTGACTTCTAAAAAATTAAAATAAGCAAATGACATTTATATTAAACTTGCCACAATGCTTTGATTTGGACTAATAGAAAAATGTAGTTTTTTTTTTTTAAAAAAAAGCATTGCATATGTATATAGCATATCTAATCTAGTTAACGCATCAAACTCTCATTAAATTGGACTGATAGAAATATGTGGCAAAGTATTTTTAAAAGTAGACTTTTGGTAAATTTGCTACCCGAAAATACTACGAATGTTTACAGAATACTGCATGATAACAATTATACAATTATTAAATTCTATGATAACAATAACAGCCTGCAATGTGATATTTAATAATCATAATAATCATTAAAACTCAGAAAAAAATTTATAAAATTAGATTACTATGCTAACTAGAAAAAAAAATTAATTTGCATCACATGTTGTTCTTTCATTACAAAAAAGCCTTTTATTCCTACAGGATACTAAACTACTGCATAGTTTCTATCTAAGTAACTTATATAAATTGATCAATTTAATAAACAGGCTTCATAAATTGATTATATCATACATGCAGATAATTTATTATTATTAAATCTGGATAAAATCCAGATTGGAGATTTAAAAAAAAAAATTCAGATTTGTAATCCTTTTTTTCAAATAAATATCTGTTATCCTCTTTATATTCAGATATATCCAGATTCTATAAACTGGATCCAAGCACTAATTAATATTATACTAAAATATAGAGTTATTCAAATAGGTTTTTAAGATTAAGATCTTTAGAAAATTTGATATAATTAATAATTTTGTATTTGTTATATAGAAAAAGATATAAACAGACAAAATTAATTGTTATTTAGAAGCATTTAGAGATAAAGTGTAGTAATAAAAAATAATATAAATAAAATATTTTTTTATAATTAAGTTTAGTAAAAAGAATAGTAATAAAATTGAATAAGATATTTCTAAATATAAGTAGAAAATAATTGTGTAATATATTGGTACATTGAGTATTTGGTATATTTTAATAAATAAATTTAGTTACAAATTATAGTTTTTATTAAATCATATTGTTTAAAAGTTTATTAAAGTTGCTTTTAGTATTTTGTTAATTAGTTGTTTTATTTTTTGAATTCGATCTAAATAGAAGTTTAAAAAAAATAGTTTAATAAAATCAAGAACTTGTAAACTGAATAATGTAGAAAAATTGTACTTAATCTTGATTTTTGGTATTGATAAGATAAGTTTGAAACCAGTCTAGTAGATTTTTAATAGTATTAGTATTGACTTATATAATTAAATAATGAGAAAAACTTTATTGAAACATAATGCTTCTTAGATATGTGTTAATTTTTTCATCAAAATAAATAGAATAAGTTTAATATTTTTAAAATATATATAACTTTTTTTTTTTAACCTTAAGCAGTTATGCTAGTACTTTATTAAGATTTTTGAAACTATTTACAATTATAATTACATAGAATTTCCTAATACTTAAGTTTAGCATCACTTAGCCATCCTATTGGTACCTAAGTACAACCTGCTGCATTATCTCAGTTAGAGATAGACTGCTCATTTAACTACTTAAAGCCATACCAGAAGGGTCTTATTCTTCTGTAACAAGCATATCAATTGTCTTCCAAGCTTTTTTATTCATTCGATTTACTCTTTTTAATTTCCTCTCCTTTTCTTCTTCTTTTGCTATTTTATTCTTCTTTGT